GGGACCGGAGGGGGGGATGTGTCGCCGGCGTGAGCGGGCAGCGCTGCGGGGTGGCCCCCGGCCAAGGGATGCTGCAGGAGGGGGCCGGCCGCGCCGCTGCATCTTAAATGGCAAAAGAAAAGAAAAGAAGAACGTTCCGATAGCGCGGCAGCCCGGCGGCATCGATACTCAGCAATTAAAAGCCAGAAAAGTAAAACCGAGGAGAAACACCCCGGCACGGGCGGCAGGAGGAGGGTGACGGCTCTCATTTCACTCCCCAAGATGAATGAAGCACCGCGAGCCAGCAACCACCATCACCGACGGCAGAAAAATAAGATACTAAGTTCTTCTTTTTTTTTTTTCCCCAGTCTTAATCATCTTAAGGTGTTATTAGCATCAGAGGGAAGGAATTAAAGATATGAGTTTCAGGATGACAGCGTGTCCCTGGCACAAGGCTGTCAAGCTGTGACGATTTGAATAAGGGAGATTTAAAGGAAAAAAAAAATATAAAAAAATCAAGTCCCAAACACAAAACAACCCAAACCCACAGCCCAGTGCTGAGCGGGGGGTTAAACCTTTCCCTGAAACAAGCCGATAATCCTGCACTGCAAAGGGGGAAACACAATCAACCCACTGCAACGGTCACCCTGAATGGAAAAATGACTTTTGAAATATTTTGGTATTAACGGGAAACAACTGGGCGCTCGAACACATCCCAAAGGCTGTGGACTTTTTTTGCCTCCAAATGCCTTGATTTAGGTTACGTCCCATCCTTCCCTGATTACCGCCTTAGATTCAACTTCTCTTAAATTTGTATTAAACCCTTTAAAAACCTCGCTGGCTACTTAGGGATTAAAAAAAGTAAAACCCCCTAAACCGCAAGAGCGGAGCAAAGGCTCTTTGATACCGGCTGGGGTGGGGGTGGAACTGTGACCCCCCCTCAGGGTTCACAGCCCCCAAAGTCACCCTGAAAACACACACACAGACACACACACAGCAGTCACCTCCTATTTTTGGCCCCGCGCCTCGGCCGTGCCTCTTTAAACCCAATTCTGTCGTTATCTCCTTTAACCCCCCCCCCCAAATCCCCTCAGAGCCAAAGGCAGCGCCCGCGGGGACCGCGAGCATCATCCCCCCGGCGTCCCAGGCCGGGCGTTACGTTGGGTCTGGGTGACGTTCACCTATCCCCGTGC